GTTAGTTAGTTGGAGAGAAAAGTAAGTTGTTGGAGAACCTGAGGTGCGCCCAAGAGGACAATGGGCTTCTTATTGGTGGTGGTAGAAGCGATAGAGGTTGTTGACGCACTCTGTAAACAGCAGAACCGACGAATCATTCTGATGAATTGAAGCAGAACGAACGACACACAACAACTCAACTACAACACCTTTTATTTATCTCGAGGGTAATAATCCCTCGCTCGCTGCCTGTTTTTGTTTTCAAAATATAAACGTAAAATCCTTTCTGCCAAAAAAAAATTAAGATATTGAATATAAACGTAAGATCATTTTTTATGGGAACCCAAATTTTAAAATAAAAGAAATAAATTTTGCAGGTAATTTAATTATTAAATTCTTTACCGTCATAAGCAAAAATGTAATTACTAGTTTTTTTTTTATTCGATTTTTGTTGGATTTATCTCGATATTGAATATTTTTAAATATGTATCTCTTATTTATGCATTTTATTGTTTCATTTATACTTTTCAGATATAATTTTTGTATATATTGTACTAATTAAGATAAATTATGATGATAGAGGTTAATTGAAAAAATAGTTTAACTAAAGTTAAATTAATCCAAATATGTAGATTTTAATTACAGTTGGAATCTAATCAACAATTACAGAGTTGGAGTTCGAAAATATATTACAAAAGTTGAGGATCAGTATAATTCCAAGTATAAAGAGAAATTTAAAGAAAACGTGAGTTGATAACAAAAGAAGGAAGGTCACAATTTCAACGAGAGAGAGGTGTAATGTAAGCCAAAAAAACAAAAGTCTTCAGCATGCAATAATATTAAGATTATATCATAACATAGTTTAGAGTATCTAGATAATTTCATAAGATTAATTTCCATATTTCCTTATAATCTTAGAATTATATGATATCCTAATAGCAACACTAGATATTCAACAATAGAAAGGGCTAATAAGATATTTGTATGTATGTTACAGGTTGAGGTACTAAGCTGCTTAAGGCATCTAAACATGGCTCTGCTACTTGGAGCAATCCCAGAATATGATTGCCTTGTATATGTGTACATGGCTAATGGAAGCTTGAATGATAGCCTATTTCGTAAAGGCAACACACTCCCTCACTTCCTTGGCAGCTTAGGTTCAAAATTGCAGCTGAAATAGGCACTGTCTTCTTGTTCCTTCACCAGACAAAACAAGAACCACTCTGGTGCAAAGGGACTTGAAACCAGCAAACATCTTGTTTGATAGCAACTACGTTGCCAAGATCAAATGGCTTACAATAAGCAAATCTGTTCTTTACAACATCGTTTGATATCATCCTTACTTCTTTTATATTTTGTTTTTTATTTAACCTATTGTATTCACACAAAGTTTGGAAATAATGAAGTGTGAGCTCAGTTTGGTGTATACTAATAATGATAATTGATCTTGCTTTTTCTTTGCTTTTTCTTCTTTTTTCCCAAAAGGCATTTCCAGCATCAATCGCTTCAAGTCTATTGATGAAGTCAGTTCTCTTCTAACACTTCAAGTCACATTTAGAAACTCAAGTTATTGGGGGTTTTTACAAACATGTTCTTCTTGTCATCAGAATAATAAATCTGTCAAAAAAGTAGGATGTTCAAAAAACTAAGCCAGAGCCTCTAGGCATATAAATTTGCATATCTAAAGCTTTATAAATATGGCCAAATTTTCGTAGTTCAGTAATTACATAAATGAAGAGAATGGCACTCACATCTTCTTCAGCAATAGCTTCTCCAGGAACAGTTAATGGCACTGGTTCAGGGCCCAATTCATTTTTGTAAATTTTTTGCATTTCTGCCGCAACAGCATAAGCTAATGTATACTGCTTTAACAATTAAGTTTTTTAAAATCTTTATTCTATCAAGAGTCATGATGAGACAAAAATCCCAAAAATCATTTCTCAAGAAACTACCTGATGACTTTCAAATGAGGGATTGAATGAATATCCTGGAAGATCAACCTCTACTGCTGGAATAAGATAAGGCTTTGATATCTATCAAGCAGGCAGGCAACATATTAACTGAAACACTGAAAGTGCAGAAAAGATAAAATGAAATAAGAAATCCACTAATAGGAATTTATAATGCTATAAAGTGTACCTTACTGACCTTCTTCTTGTCATCATCATCTGCACAATAATATTAAAGAATCTTATGTTTAACATCCCATAATTATAACAAAAAATAAAATGAAAATATTAAATCAATAAGCATACAAGTACCTTTATCACCCCATAGATCAAACATGCCACAAACTAACATGGAATCATCCTGATATAGATCATGAGTGAGAGAAAATGTTACGAGAACAAATTTTTAATAAGGTTTGGGAAATAGAAGGAAAAAGAAGTAACTTCTCCATTCTTTTATTCAAATATGAATGCAGCTTATCCAAAGCTTCTTGCAACAAAATGCAGACAGCCAACTAGATCCCTTTTAACATGAAAGCACAGATCAATAACAACACATTTATATCATTTATATATGTAAGGAACTCAACCTGCATAGTCAGACATATTCACATATTATATACAGAAAAATCAAGTGTAAATTGATACTGTCAACAAAAGATTAGAAACAGAGGGATGAGGTTTCCTAAGGCATTCCTTTTGATAGTGTGTTAATGTAAAAAATCCAGTAGGGTAGACTAAGTAAATAACATGATCCTCTCTGATAATCCTCGTCAAACACAGTTCTGATCATGTCACAGGCAAAGTAAACATGCTGATTTGCAAAACATTAAACATGCCTTGAGAGAGCTGATGAGTATATAAAATGAAAGGTTCTGCTATTCTTGCTGTCTGCGATACTTAATGTATATGGATTGAAATTCACACCTGACATCATTGTTAACAACCGTGAAAAGGATAGGTAACCAAGTTTTTGTAGGCATGTAATCCTTTAAAGAAGTAAACTACCTAATGGAGTAATATCAGGCTACATTTATATGAAGTAATATCAGACTACGCTCATCCTTAGAGTACAGAGAAAGTACTGGACCTAAGTTCATCATATCATCATAATGTAGATTGAAATTATCTTTACTAATATTAAATCAAATATGGAAGTTACATCATATTAACCACTCCCCATTAAACCCGACTAGCAAGCGTGGGGTGAAAAAAATCCTTTTACGCAGTCTTACCCTTGCATAATTGTAAAGAGGCTATTTCCTGGATTCGAACCCATGACCCTTCAGTCATGAAAGAACAGTTTTACTACTGTTCCGGTTCGCCCCCTTAAGTTACATTATATTAAACCAAATAAAATTTAAATCATGTTAGCTAGTTATATACCATGTTAGTTAGTTATATATTTGGACAGCTATGTTATTTGAAAGTTATTAAAGGAAATTTTCTTTACTGATATCAAATCAGAAAAGACATAAAAATTTAAATCAGATAAACTGTGGTTTTGTTGAAAGTATTGCCACAACAATGAAAACATGCTAACGAGCTAAGCATGGTTTCTTAAGGCATTCCTTTTGATAGCGTGCTAATATAACAGATCCAGTAGGAATGTAGGATAGACCAAGTACAACAACAAGGACATTATACCCTCCGATGCACTACATTGAGAAAAAGAGTGGACTTGAGATTCATCAAAGAACCAGAATGCATTAGCTGTTTCAAAGGTAATAAAGGTGCCATTAATTAGCAAATGAAATGACATGTAAAATACAAACAAAGAAGAAACACCACATAATGCCCCTGAATTCCAGTATAAAATTTTTACTGGAGAAAATAATTAACATTATTTGAGTCACTGCTTCAAGAAGAGCATATCTTACAACAGCAAAATCTAAACCATCTGTGATTTGAGGTTATATCACAATTTTTTTAAAGAAAAAATGGCATATCACAGAGTCAATAAGCAAAGGCATTGTTATGTATCAACCATATACCACATCTGAGGAATTTATCAGCATCCAAGCAGAGGCTACAGAATGAGCAATAAACAAAAAAGAAGAGCATAACATAAAAAACCCATATAAGATCTGAAAAGAAGACAAACTTCAGGGAACAATGGGATTATTCTACCGAGAAAATTCACAGCAAGGAGCACCAATACCAAACAAACATGGCAAGAGAAGTGTGCAGCGGATCACATGAGAACATTAAATTGAATCAAAACCAAACTCCCTTTTCTTTACTAATATCAAACACAGAAAAGATATGAAAATTTAAATCAAATAAACCGTGTTAGTTAGTTAGTTAGTTATATATGTGGAAAGCTATGTTTTTTGAAAGTTATAAAAGAAAATTGTCTTTACTAATATCAAATCAGAAAAGATATGAAAATAACCGTGTTAGTTAGTCACATATTTGGACATATATTTATTTGAAAGTTGTTAATGAGAATTATCTTTACTCATATTAAATCTTTAAAAGATATGAAAATTTAAAAGAAACAAATCGAGTTACACACATATTAAAAGATTACCTCCAAAAATTCTACTTGTGACGATATAGCATATCGAAGATTCTAATTCTGATATATAGCTGATCACTATAAATTGAACAGAAACCCCATCACCCACCCACTCACTCACTCACTCACTTGACCGTTACATAAACCTCAAACCACCTTTTGCTGCTCTGTTCTAAACCCACCCCTGAAACAGAAACCTTGTACGTACGCTTCCATTCTTCAACTTGTGCTTTGCCACCATGACTCAGAGGGACAACAAAACTCTGTGGGAATTGGTGGGGAAGATTACAGATTGGGAGACGTGTCAAAAGATGTCTACCAAACCCTTTAGGCCTCACTTTTGTGATATACTTCTTTCGCGTGTTGCACCACAGTATGATAACGATGAAGAATTGGCTCTGATTAAGAGTTGTTTCCAAGAAGAGGAACCTCAACAACATGAAGAATTGCAACAGCAACAACAGCATCTGCAACACGGAGAGGCGAGTTCGTCAAAGACAAAGCCAAAGCCAGAGAAAGAGAAAGAAAAATAAAAGAAAAGAAGGCGCGAAATGCATGACGATGAGGAATGTCGCCCCATTCCCTCGTGGGTGAATAAAAAATCAAGAACTGCAAAGAATGCATCAACACCAACACCAACACCATCACCACCAACACCATCCCCACCAACACTGTCACCGCCATTACCACCGTCGCTGCCGCCACAGCTGCCAGCATCATCGCAACAGTTGTTACCACCACTCCCACCAGCGGTTCTGCCTGATGAATTCAAGAACCGTATCAGAGAGTTGAACGGCAGCGACATTCAATTTGTGATGAGCAAGAAACTCTTCCAGACAGATTTGACCCTGAATCATGACCGTTTATCAATGCCGATGAGAGAAGTTCGTTGTGATTTCCTGACCAAGGCTGAGAAAGCAACATTGGATGAGAGAGATTGCGCAAAAAGAAAACTTGTGGGAGTTGAACTGAAGATGTTGGATCCATCTCTTACTGAGTGTACATTGTCATTGAAGAAGTGGAACATGACAAGCACAAGCATATACTGTCTCACCAAAAACTGGAAGAGTGTTGTCACCCATAACAATTTGCAAAAAGACGATCAACTCCAAATATGGTCTTTCAGAGTGGATGGCAAATTACATTTTGTATTAAATAAACTCTGAACAAATTTAGAGCACAGTGACATAGACACGTCACTATTGTCTGTCCACGTATATAGGGGATAGATACATTAGGCAATGGAATATGGGTGGTGCTGACAACGTAATATTGAAAAAATGTATTTGTTTCTTTTTCTTTCTTTTTTGTTATGTGAGGATGTCGAATGTTTTGGGATTTTCATGTTTTCCTTGCTTGTAATGAAGTGAGATCCTATTTTCATTCTTTCACGTAGCTTAGCTTTTACTTGATTATTTGGGGTTTGCTCATTCGGGGTTTGCAAGTATATATTTCTTTACCATCTTATTAAGATAATTTATTATGAGAACCCGAATTTTAAAATAAAAGAAATAAATTTTTAGGGTAATTTAATTATTAAATTTTTTACCATCATAAGCAAAAATGCAATTATTAGTTTTTTTTTATTCGATTTTTGTTCGATTTATCTCGCAATTTAATAAATTTTTTTTTGGTAAACGATATTTAACATTTTTAATATGTACCTCACATTTATGCATTTTATTGTTTCATTTATACTTTTCAGATATAATTTTTGTATATATTGTATTAATTGAGGTAAATTATGATTGTAAGAATTTTGTTTAATATGTACCTCACTATTGTATATATTCTACTCTTCTTTTTAACCCGTTGGTCAGAATTTTGTTTGCCGACTCCACTTGCCCGTTTGTGTGTGGATGTGCAACTGCTGCAAACTGGTGCTTTATCCCCAAGTCAGCTACTACCTGCCGAAATTTTCTATCTATGAACTGTGTCCCATTATCAGTTCTGATTATAGCCGGAATACCAAACCTGCAGACTATTTTCCCAATGAAAAACTTCTGGACTTTCCGAGCAGTTATGGTGGCGACGAGTTTTGCCTCTATCCACTTGGTGAAGTAATCTGCTGCCACTATCAGATATTTCACTCCTCAAGCTGCTCTAGGAAACGGACCTAGCAGGTCCATTCCCCATTTAAAAAATGGCCTTGGAGATGAAATTGTGAACAACTCTTCGGGAGGAGCTTGATATACATTAGAAAACTTCTGACACTGTTCTCATCTGCGTACATGTTTTTTAGCATCTTCTCCCATTGTTGGCCAAAAATATCCTGCTCGTATAGCTTTTATGGCTAACGACTTCCCTCCTAGATGATGTCCATTGATCCCCTCGTGTATTTCTTCTAACACGTATTCCGTGTTCGGTGGAGCTATGCATTTCAACAAAGGAGAATTTATCCCTCTTCTATACAACTGTCCTTCTATCCTGACAAACCAAGCCGCTCTTCTCCTAAGCCGACTGGCTTCCATTTTTTCTCCTGGCTCCTTTCCTTTTTCCAAATACTCTATAATTGGGCTTCTCTAATCCACCTCTTCGACCATCCACACCACACTCGGAGCTCGAATATTCTGCTGTATAATGGTCCTCAAATTTCCTGAGGCTTTAGTGCTCGCCAGCTTTGACAACACATCTGCTCTAACGTTATCCTTTCTCCGAATGTGCTCTACTTGGATCTCCTTCAATTCTTTCATCAACTCCTGTACCCTTGCCAAATATTTAATCATAATCTCCCCTCGAGCTTGGTATACTCCGAGCTCCTTTGCCAAAACCAAACCAGTAATCATTGCTTCATACTCTGCTTGATTATTACTCGTGGGAAACTCCAATGCCAGCGAATGTTCTACGGCCGCTCCTTCCGGGTTCTCTATTATAACCCCTACCCCACTGCCTCTTTTGTTGGATGACCCGTCCACAAACAACTTCCACCAACCATTTTCTTGCTTCCCTCCGGGTTGTGTCATCTCTACCACAAAATCGGCTAAAGCTTGTGCTTTGATCGCGTTGCGCGCTTCAAAATGAATGCCAAATTCAGATAACTCCACTGCCCATGCTACCATCCGACCTGTGAGGTCCGGCTCATGCAACATTTGCCTTATTGGCTGATTAGTCTGAACAACCACTTGATGACATTGGAAATACTGACGAAGCCTCATTGCTGTAATCAACAGTGTAAATACAATTTTCTCTACATGTTGATATCTTGTTTCTGCTCCTTATAACACCTTGCTTATAAAGTATACCAGTTGTTGTTTCCCATCTTTCCCTTCTCGGACGAGAACTAAACTAACAGCCTCCTGTGAAACAGATAAATATAAGTATAACACTTCACCTGGTTCCGGCTTGCCTAGGATTGGCGGCGAAGCCAACATCTCTTTGAAGCGCTGAAATGCTGTCTCACATTCCTCCGTCCATGCAAAATTACTTACCTTCTTTAGAAGTTGAAATAGTGGCAAAGACACCTGTACAGACTTGGCCAAAAATCTGGACAAAGCTGTTACTCGCCCGTTCAACATTTGGACTTCTTTAATATTTTCTGGGCTTTTCATTTCCATCACTTCTCTACACTTGTCCGGGTTAGCTTCAATTCCCCTTTCTGTTAACAGGAAACCCAAAAACTTTCCGGCTGGAACCCCGAAAGCGCATTTACATGGGTTTAAGCGCATATTATGCTTCCTAATCTGCTCGAACACCTCCTGCAAGTCTTGTAAATGTGTCTTACCGTCCCCCGACTTCACAATCATATCATCCATGTATACTTCCAACATTCTACCCATTTGTGCCTTAAACACTTTGTTCATCATCCTCATGTACGTCGCTCCTGCATTCTTTAATCCAAATGGCATGACATTATAACAATACACTGCATTATCAGTTATGAACACTGTTTTTTCTTGATCTTCCTTCCATAACGGTATCTGATTATACCCGGAATATGCATCCATAAATGACAACACTTTGTACCCAGAGGCTCTGTCTACTAAATGATCAATACTTGGTAAAGGAAATGGGTCTTTAGGACAAACTTTATTCAAGTCTGTATAATCTGTACACATTCTCCACTTTCCATCCGGCTTCCTTATCAGCACCGGGTTGGCTAGCCACGTAGCATATTCTATTTCTCTAATAAACCCTGCTTCCAAAACCTCTTGTGTCTTTTCTTCAATGACCCTCCTCCTTTCTAAACAAAATCTTTGTTTCTTCTGCGCTACCGGCTTTACTCCTGGGGTCATTGCCAAGCGATGACAAGACAATGTCGGATCCATACCGGGCATATCTGAAGGTTTCCATGCAAACAAATCAGCATTCTTTTTCAACAAATCCTTCAAACTCTCTGCCACCTCGGGCTCCAACTCGGACCCCATCTTAGTACACTACCGTGGAGATATCCCTAATTGAACTTCTTCCATTGCACCGGCAGGTTCCGACCTATCCACTTTGTCCTCCTCCCGAGGATCCATCCCCACCACCATTACTTGTTCTTCTTTCTTTCCTTCTTCTTCTCTTTGTATATTTCCTTCTTTGGCTTGTTGTGGTGGCTCCACAATATTTTTCTCCTTACGTGCTTGAGGAACTCGTAGACTCATATTATAACAACTCCGAGCAACCACTTGGTCTGCCTTTATCGTAGCTACTGACTCATCTTTGGCTACAAATTTCTTAGCCAACTGATCAATCGACAAGAAGATTTTAAACATCTTCATAAATGGCCGCCCCAAGATAACATTGTACGCCGAGCTCAAATCTACTACTGCAAACATCAAAGTGACCATTTTGTGCGCGGGCGCCTTGCCTAACGTCATCCTCAATGGGATATATCCCAATGGCTTAATTTTATCTCCCGTGAAAGCTAATAACTCGGCTCCACATGGCTCCAACTGGTCATAATCCAAATCCATTCTTCTAAACGCATCCAAAAATATAATGTCCACCGAGCTCCCCGGGTCTACCAACATTCTATCAACGCGATAATTTGCTAGCTGCCCATAAATGACTAAAGGATCGTCGTGCTCTGGATCAATTATCTCATCATCCAGGTCATCAAAAACTACTTGTTTGCCTGTCTTCCTTCTTTCTTCCTTAAAACGCGGCTTTTCTGAAATGGCCATGCACATCTTTAAATTCTTTTTCTGAGCATTACTCGACTCTCCTCCTCCTGCTCGCCCTCCGGCTATAGTACATACGTCACCCAACTGGACCGGATTGGGAGATGTTTTCTTTTGTTGTGGAATCTTGCCTGCCTCTTGTCCTTTTCCTCCTGGTGGGCTCCGACTACAGTATGGTCGTCGGGATTTGTCGTCATTGCTACCATCTACATCTCTTCTCACGTACTTCTGTAACTTTCCTTCTTTGATCAACCGTTCAATGACGTTCTGTAAATTAAAATAGTCGTTTGTATAATGCCCGTACCCACGATGGAATTCACACCATCTGGTTTTGTCTGGAAACTTTGACTGAATGGGTGGCGGCCTTGGGACATTTCTCATTTTTGCCGACATTACTTCTTTAAATATCTGGGCTCTAGACGTGTTCAAAGGTGTGAACTCCCTCTGATATGGCTCTCTGAATCTTTCTCCAACTAGACGAGGTCGTCGCTCTTCAAACTGCCCTCTTCTTGCTTGTCTCTCCGGCCTCCGACTTTGACTTGCTTCGCGAAAACCTTGCTCAATTTGCTCTTAAGACGATTTAAATTCTTCCAAAGCAATATACTTTCTGATTCTTTCTAGCAAATCTTCCTTTGTAGCTGGAGACTTTTTGGCTAACGAGTTGGCAATTCCTCCGGGTTGTAATCCAGTAGTGAACAACAACAGATAAGTCTGATTTTCTATACCCTTAACTTGTCTTGCTTCAGCCTGAAAACATTCATAATAATCTCCCAACTTTTCTTCGGGTTCTTACTCCGCACAAATTATGCGTTGTTTTAGGCTGGGGTCCGCAACGAGCAAACTGTTGCACGAACTGTTGTGATAAGTCCACCCAACTTTCGATGGAGTTATCTGGTAAAGCCTTAAACCACCACAAAGTCAGTTTTCTCAAACACACACGAAAAGTTCGACAAAACAATGAATTTGATTCGCCACACAAAGGACATTGCTGCCCGGAACACTGTCACGAACTCCTTTGGGTCTGAACTTCCATCATACGCCTTCATGTCACTTGGTTACTTAAACCAAACCGGGATTGGTTCTGCTATAAGCCTCCCCGACAAAGGAGTTCCTGATGGTCCCTGATTAATGGGGTGCGCCAGAATCCCCTGTTGAGCTCCTCCGAGTTGTCTATTTTAAACGGGTACATCCTACTCCCTATTTGCCATTTGTCTATTGCCATAATGAGGACCCAAGCCTTCTGCCTGCCCTGGTCCGTAATGCTGATAATCCCAATTCGCTTGTCGCCTTCCATCTCCTTGACTTTGATCTCTACCCCAGTAATGATACTCGGTATCGTCTCGTGGAACTTCACCTCTGCGATTGCCATAACTTCTTCCTCTTTCCGGCCTCCACCTTTAATAAGTTTCTTCATATCGACCTCTGTTTACCTCTCGTTCATCTCGCCGAGTATAATCTTGACGGGCTCCAAAATACTGTTCTTCCTCCCATATCACCTCTTCTTCCACCTGTTCATCTTCTCTATTTTGATATTGCCTAGCCCGGCTCGTTCTCCAGGCATAATCCTCAGGTATCCTTTCTCCTATCCGCGGATTTGTTCCTCGTCCTCCGCCTTGATAGCCTCCCATTTCTGGAGAACCCCTTGACTCTTGACAAAGTTGTCCTCTCCTCCCTTCATTTCTTCTATTTCCCCTCACCGTTGGAGGTGATAAAAGAATATAGCTAGGAAGAGGAGACAAAGAATCTCCTCCTCTGTTGGGTGATTGTTGCTCATTCTCTACAGGATGCCTTTCCTCTGCTCCACGTCTCCTTTTCCCTCCTTCTAGTTGTTTCCTATTCCTGATATCCTCCACTAACTGAATCAAAGCTTCTCCAATGGTGTCCAGAGACCGACTCCTTCCACTGGATCAGAAAGAATCTTCCTCTCCTAGGTATCCTCCGTCGTTTTCCGCTCCCTCATCATGGTAATTGCTTGCCATGACTCAAGAAAATGCGTAGGAATCTTTTTACCTATTCCCACATACGGCGCCAAATGTTCTATATGAACATTAGTATGATTATTGTATGGTTCTTGTTCCTCTTTCATTAGTTATGGTCTTTGGTATATATAACCCTTCCATAGGTGGTTATTGTGAACGTGGGTAGTTATAGAAACCCATCATGTAATCATGGTAGGGCCCACTTTGGGTTATAGTATTTTGGCCGGCTTCCCTTCCGGGTAAAACCCTGTCCGGGTTCTATCAACACTTCTCCTTGACTATTGATACCCGGATGTATAAACCCGGAACAATTTCTTTCGCGCGTTGCACCACAGTTTTATGACGATGAAGAATTGGCTCTGGTTAAGAGTTGTTTCCAAGAAGAGGATGAAGAGTTGCAACAGCAACAACAACAACTGCAACAAAGGAGAGGCGTCAAAGAGAAAGCCGCCAGAAAAAGAAAAAGAAAAAGAGAAACAAAAGAAGGCGCGAAATGCTTGACGATGAGGAATGGCGCCCCACTCCCTCGTCGCTGCCCTAACTTCAACATCACTTACTTTCCCTCGTCGCTGCCCTAAAATCAATTTCCCCCCTTTTACTTTCCGTGATTAATTAATAGTTTAGGGGTTTTTCATTTGTCATGTAGTACTAGGGGTGTTCGCGGTCTGGATTGAATCAGTTTTGGAAGCAAAGATTATCTGATCCAATCCCTTCGGTGTCATCCATTCGATTTGAATTTTTTTTTCAAATCCGATCCGATCCAATCCAATATTTTTCGGTTTGGATTGGATCGGTTTTCGATTTTTTGAAAATTCTGATTTTTTTTTTTAAATTTTGAATTTTATTTCAAAGTTATTGTGCTTGTATATATTGGCTTTTTAAAAAAAAAAAATTTAAATACAAAAGAATCAGTAAACAATAATATAAGTTTATTTTTATGGGCAATGAGATATGAAGCTCTACACAATTAAAATTTTGTTAATGATCAGTAAACGATAATATAATTTTTTTTTATGGGCAATTGAGAATGAAGCTCTACATAATTGAAATTTTGTTAATGAGATGTGACTAGATTTTTTCTTAGGTTTAGATGATGAATTATGGATTTTGGGTTTAGAAATTTTTAGGCTATGATTTGGGAAAGGCCCATGTAGGTAGAGAGAAATTAATATATTGGATCGGTCTGGATTGGATCGGTTTTCATCAATCAATCCGAAAACCGATCCAATCCAATTACAATTTGCGGTTTTTTTTCGGTTTTCGATTTTTCGGTTTTCGGTTTATTCAGTTTTCGGTTCGGTTTATGCGGTTTGAATAGGTTTGGATCGGTTGATGAAAACCCCTATGTAGTACGACAAAAGTAAAGTTTTTATATATACATTGTTATTTGTGCTATTTTTTTTTTAAATGGTGGACCATATTAGTTGTATTATTTCCTAATTTAATTTAAGGTAATTAAAATTGAAATTGTATGTAAAATTAAAAAAGAAATAAAAAGTTATAAAACTTAAAATTATAACATAAAGAATAATAAAAAATCGTAAAATCATTTGAAATATTGGTAAAATTATTTTGATGAATTTTTTTATAAAAACATAAAATTATAGTGATAAATTGAGATTTTAAGTACCATAACTTGGTTTACTACTTTTTTTTTAATATTAAGTTTACTACTTCTTAAATCCCTAAATTTTAAATTAAGTTTCGTCACTGTCCTTTTTTTTTTTAAGGTGTAATTCCAATAGTTTATTCGCAAAATTTTTTATTTATTAATGCTAAGCTTACGGAATCTTAACATGTTTTTCTTTTAGAAAAATTAAGGATTAGATCATAATGAATAATCATTTCAAGAAAAATGCCGAATATTATGATGGTATATTTTTCTTCTGAGTAGTATCATATCATTCTTAATAATAATTGTGAAAAATGTTTTGTATGAAATAACGTGGCTCATGCTTCAATTCAAGGTTTGGAAGAGTTTCCAATCTCACTAAGTACATGCAAGGAATTACTGATCTTAACGTGTTTAACAAAATGTTCTACATGTAAATTTTATAGGTTTAAAAAATAATTTGTATAATTATCTATTGATATAATATTTTAAAATTAAATAATAATCTTTTGCTTTAAACAATTTCTCAATCTCTTAAATTTTTTATAAAAAATCATATATTGATAACTTGCATCACATTTGAGACAAAAAAATTAATTTAATGCTTTTTAATAAATTAATTACGCATTTATTATAGTTTTGAAAATAATTACACATTTATTGTATAATATGACGCCCAATTTGGGCATTACCAATAACGCCTAAATTGGGCGTCACTCAAGATGCAATCCGCCTAATTTAGGCGTCACTCATCAGGTGTTGACACGTGTCATACTTTTTTTTTTCTTCAAAAAATAATAATAATTTAATCATAAAACTTCTGAAGGCCATAACTTTTGACTCGGGTATCTAAATCAGGTAATTCTTTTTTTGATTCCACATAACTTTTCGAGATCTACGCAATGACATCTCATTTGATATATTTCATTTCTCACAAACATAATTTAAATTTGCAAGAATGATATTATAAGAGCGGTTAAACCCAAAAGCTTATGAGTTCTGGATTTGTGATTTAATTTAAAAAAAAATAAAGATTTGATTTGTGATTTAAATTAAAATAAATAAATAAAGATTTGATTTGTGATTTGATTCGTAATCTGAAATAAATGATGGCTTATGAATGTTTTTCAAAAATAAAATCATTCTTCCTTAGAGATTAGAATATTTATTTAATTATTTCCTTTATTAATACAGATTTTTCAAATTAATTTTTGAGTTTAAATCACAAATGAAATCTACATTTTGTTTTCCTTATTAATACTAGTTGTTATTTTTAATTTAAATTACAAACCAAATTTGTTTTATAATAAAAATAAAAAAATTATTTTTTTAATTTAAATCAGTCATCAAATCTTGATTTATTTTTTATATTAAATAACAAACCCAGAGGCTTCTGAGTTTAAAAATATGACATGTGTCAACACTTGACACGTTACCAATCACGTCTAAATGGGGTTTCAATCAAGAGGCAGTCACGCCTAGAGCCGGCAAAACGGGCTCGGCTCGGCGGGCCAACTCGCTAAACGGGGCGGGTCGAGCTGAGTTTTTCAACCCATCTCAAAAGTGGGGCGGGCTCATCTTTTGGCGGGTTGATGGCGAGCATAGACGGGCCGAGGCGGGTCAGTGTAAAATAAGTTCAGGCTGGCGGGCCAACTCGCCCAGCCCGCCAAACGGGGCGGGGCGGACTGAGTTTTTGAGCCCATATTCAAAAGCGGGGCGTGGGAGGGCTGACTCATTTTATAGCGGGGCGGGGCAGGCCGCCCACTTTGCCACCTCTAATCACGCCTAATTTAGGTAATTTT